TGGCTGTGTGTGTGATGAAGTGTTATCAAAGGCAGAAAGATTGCATTGAAGGCAGAGCATCAACTGAATTCTTAACCTGTCGCCAGTACTGTAGAATACATTGGCAAATTGGGCTAAAAGCACAGTCAATGGACTAGAAGCCAACAACTGTGGAGAGAAAAGAGCCGTGTTTCTTCCGTTTAGTTGAGCCGCGTTTCTCCCGATTAGCGCTATCGCACCCGACAGAAGGTTCCGAGGACTATGTTGCTCCTTTTATGTCTGCCAATGTGCTCAGGATGGCATCCAGCGTTCATGAGGACAGAAGCAAAAATCACACAGTAGCTTAAAAAGTAGCTAAAAGTAGCTAAGGTCATCAGTGATGTGTTATTGCAATGTGCTCTGAAATGTCACTAAACCTAGGGACAAAATCCCCAAAATAGCAACAATAAGAGCCGCCCTATGATCCTGGGGTGCCAAAACTTCCGGCCTTTGTTTCGGAACTGTGCTGTACCACTGCAATAAATGGCTTTAAACTTGCAGCTACATACAATTGCACCGAATCGGACAAGTGGGAAAACGGGATGGCGTTGTCCTTTCACAGATTAAATTAGAAGTTACCCGATGTAGGAACCCCCAGCAAAAATCACCACGCCCATCACCTTACAACTGGCCACAAGTTGCCTGCTCTTCAGCCCTCCTGCCTAATCGGTTGCTTCGTTTTTGTGCTTTTCTTGGCTTCAAGATGGCCAACTTCAGCCAATCGGAACGATTAACTGGTTCGATTCTCCAGTTGGATGCAGTGTTCTGGAAACAATCGGTAGCGCTAGCGTCCATGAATGCAATAGGTCTACATCTGCAGGGCAGAACTCAACTTCACATTCAAGTCATCCGCAATTAAGGTATCCAGAATTCGCAAGAGATTATCGACGCACAAAATCCCTTTGGCATATCAGCATGAAGAAAAAAAATACTCCATCAATTCGATCAGCTGTCTTCATTTGATGTATTTTAAACGGATAAGAGCCGAGTTTGAAGGAACAGCAAGGGAAAGAAAAAGTTACAAAGCACGAGGCTTGACTTACAAAGTCAAGCCTCGTGGCGTCCTATAGACGTTTTCTGTTTCCTGTCGTTCTCAGTCACGTGGCTTCCGTATCTGGTATGCGGGACGCAAAAATAGTAAAACATTTCAACCTGCAATATGCAAGAAAATATAGGCGGGACAAAACAAGAAGGTGTGACAATCACGCATTTTTCGTAAACACCTTCCAGAGGCGTGGAGAGATCAAAACAATGTTTTACCGCACACCAGAAGTGACGACATTCAATATAGCTGCGCCCTTGTGGAAAAGGTGTACACATTTCCGTGCCCGTCTTCTCGAAGCCCATTATTTCAAAAAGTGTACCAAACAGCCCAGTTAGTCACTCATAGTTGCATTTTATTTCGATCCTAGTATCTCGTACGTGAGTTCTATGGGGCTCAAATTTTTGCAGCGTGCAAAATACAAAGTAGGAACAATAAACCTTTCTTTTCTTTCGACGCATCACAATGTGGATTCCTGTTGGTATAAATATGTATACAAAATGAAAGTGTGTCAACACACTGTAGCCTGAAGCACACGAAGCAGAAGCTTGTACTGCAGAGCCCACGGGTCCTGAGTTCAATGCTCTCGCTCTCCCTCCCCTTCGCCTTCGCCTTCGCCTTCGCCTCCGCCTCCCCCTCCCCCTGCCGTTGCACTGCCGAAATTCGTCATCTAGAGCAGACACACCAGACGACCATTGGAGCCCACTAACTTCCTACCATCTAAACAACAATGCTGGTTCTAGCACGACCCTTCGACCCTTCAAACGAGAGCGCAGCCAGGGAAGGTCCTTCTGACAACCTAGTTTCATGGCGTGTTGTGTATTCCCGCAAAAAGATACCAACAGTGGAAGAAGAAAGCAAGCCAATTAAATCGGCGGGCAAAAAGCCCTGACCAAGATGATCTGCCAAACCACAAAAAACAAACCCAAAGAGTTTTATCTTATCCAGAAGCCTAGTGAGCAGTCTCATCTTTCAGATAAGATACACACATAGAATGATAGAAGTGGGTTGCTGGCTGCAATGGGCACACCAAGTTTACGAGGTACGGGCAATTCAAACTGCAAGGTTTTGGGGTTGTTTTTTTCTTTTTCCACAAAACAAAGTGCGAGTTGCTCACAAGTGAAACCGAGATGTGCCAAAACTATTTCTTAACGCTTAGTATCGAAAAAACCTTTTTGTGTGCGTGTTGGTTTTGAATGACATAGTGGACCTTCTGAATAGATGCAAAGATGCTTTTTAATTGCTGGGTTATTATGATGTTATTTCAAGCATTATAAAGAACTGTGATGCGTTATTTCTAGGGCTGGGCATTGATTGAAAGTTTTAACCCGATTAATAATCACCCTTTAATCCATTAATCACACTCACATATTATAACTTCAGCTGCACGAGGTGAAGAGGTTCATTGATATTATCCGGCAAGAGCAACCTCCTTTGATTGTTCACACTATAGTCTCTGGTGTGCTAAATTTCAAACACTCGAGCAGCGTTCAAGTGGCCGAAACAGGTGTGACCTTCTACGCACGCACCCCCCGCCCCCCTTCTCAGGACTTACAAATCTTGCTTTACAGTTTACTTCAGGCTACATCTTGACCTAACATTTGCCCATCATACAGATGTTCCCGTCCACATCCGAGTCGTAAAACCATTTACTTTTTATTTTATTTCGGTTTGTTAAAATATTACTGACTAACTGGTTAATAAATTAATCACGATTAAAGCATTAGTTGCTTAATTGGTAGATTAATCAATCAATTGCCCAGCCCTAGTTATTTCTGTTTGTGTGAGTTTTGCATACTAGATTAGAGAATGCGCAACTACGGTATGTTAAATATATAAATAAAATAAAGAGAGCTAAATCAGTGTCTATTACGAAGGAAAAATTATCCTCCCCGAGGCATCAGGCATGAAAAATGAGCCTAGAAGTATTTCAGACTCCTCTATATTTCCAAGAACTTGAAGTACAAACTAACTGCATTTCCATCAATCACGGATTGCCAAACATTAGAACACCAAAAACATATTCGTTGAGAAGAATAATACATTGTTTCCCTATTAGTACACATCATTGCATTATTTTTATTTCAGATTGACATGTCCAATGTAAATTGATTTACGTCACCTGATTTGCAAAGTAGGCAAACATGTGCTGCAAGCTGACGTCCAAAGCAACTGCCTTGCACCGCATGGGCAGTTCTCACGGTGCTCTCTTACTCACTCACTTCGAACAGTTACGGACAGTTACCTTCGCAACTTATCCGCGTTCTCAGATCCTGTTCAACGCAACATGACCTGCAGCCAAACCTGATCAAAGCATTATATGTGATTCAGCAACACAAACATCAGATTTGTAGTGACCTCAAACAAACCACAGTACTGCTTGTTCACTAACATGTTTGTGTGTGGCCAGCTCATGACGGTGAAGAGGCTGTTCAAAAGGGTGACATGCCTGCCAACAGATTGTCATTCAAACAGCACATTCTTGTGACTAATATATATATTTCTTTTTTGCTGTGGTTTGATTTTGTTTGCTGAAAGCATACAGGATGAGCTCATGTGTTTTCTCATGGATTTCTAGAGCACTACAAATCCATGACAAACCGTGGCAAAGAAAACAACAAAAAAAAGAGACTTAGAGGAAACGTCGACGGCTTTTTTTCTGTGTATCCCTGAAACGAGCGCAGGGTCGTTTAAACAAAAATGGTTTCCCGACCAAACATCGCAGTGTGTACGAAACAGCGTCGATTGACGAACTGGCACCTATTATAATTAAACCACTAGAGAAAACCCCCAAGACTCATGAATGGAGTGTTTGTGGCATTTGAACTGTGCCGACGACGCATCCCCCAGTTTACCCGGGGGCCAATTTTAGCGCAGCACACTATCTTCGACAAACGACTACGTAGCCGATACCCTTCGCCAACACCAAGCACGCGTCTTTGTCGCGTGCGAAGATAAACAAAAACAAGATTAAAAAAAGGGCCCAAAGATGCGTTACGAATCAGCAAAAAGAGCTCACGGCCGCCGACACGGCGAAAAGAACAAACAAACACTCGGGAATAACAGAAATACGTTCAGAGAACGTACCGTTCCGTTGGAGATGTGGACGTAGCGGGCTTTGTACCTCATTTTCTAGCAACTTTCGTGGGCTGCAGTATGCGTATTCGGATTGTGAAATGCTGTAGCAACGCAATTGAAGCCGCCCCGAAGCGAGAAAAACAAATAACTAAATAAACGGGTCGTCGCTTCGGCACGCGGCTGGGACGCGAACCAACGCGGGAAGAAAACAAAAACAGACAGAACAAATGTCCATATGTGACAGTTGAATACCGATGAACGAGATATAAGTAGACGTATGCGCTTGACGAAAGCTCGGATCTGGAGCACAAGAATTTGGCGTCAAAAGGATATTGTACTAGCATCTCCCATCTGTACCATTTTTGTAGCTGTTTCTCCTAATAAGAAAAAAATTGAAACAATAATCAAGTGCCACGATTTTTTTTCTTCTTAATTTAACGAAGTCGGCAATGCAACCATGTGATCTGAGAACGGTGACATCATCCCACTATGAAACGTCAGAAAAAGAGTGACATTCTATGAAGGGCGACGAACGGGAAACAATCCCTCAATCGACGTGTTCGTACGCGCTATGACCCGTCTGTGCATTGGCGAGCGATTCGGGGACCGCAGAGCGGAGTTAAGGATCGAAAAAAATCACCTGTTTTCTTCGTTCCGAGTTACGCATATCCGTTGAAGCAGACGCCATGTTGTTTATATCGCAAAGATCATCTGAACGGATACGGGAAGCCGCGGTGTCGTATCAAATTTTTATTTTTTAAAAAATAATGTCAAATTTTATTAAAATAATTTAAATACTTAGGGTGTTTTTTGAACTGATCTTATTTTTATTTTAATTTTAATGGCCGCGTGGTAGTTCTACAACTGAGGCGGCTAAGGAGCGACTGGATCAGCAGTCGTTCCCGTGCGTAATTTTTTTGGCGTCTCCTCCTGCATTGTTGCCCTAACCGGTAAGTTTCATCGGAATTTAAGCGGAAAGAAGACGAAGTTCTTTGTTTTAAATCGAAATCTCGCGTTCCAACTTTCTAAAGGGGGTACCGTGCCGTCACTTGTTCACGGACAGACCATGTTTTCACCACAGGGTCCCTTAAACGTTCTCGCAACTTCTATCGACACGTGCGGATCCTTGAGGTTTGGTTTGGGCCTGCAACAACTTAGCTCTCATTCATTCGAGAGATTTTCCTCATTCCTAACCGTCAATTTAGTTGCGATACATCATTTACGCTACGCAGAAAGCTAGCTAACGTGCCGCTTATAGCAGTGGTCTACAAAAAGAAAACGCGTTTTGACAGCGCCGGCTTTGTTGCAGCCGCGCAGTGCCATTCAATGGATTCCTGTCAAGCTTGTTCTCTTGTTAGCTTTCATAGGCTCGAATATTTTTTCACGTAATAAACGCTCGAGCTTCGTTAAGTTGACGCGTTTATAACGCAGTCGTAGGGACCTACCGCCATGTCAGACGAGCAAGGGATGCGTAGGCAGCGGTGGTTGTACCGTCCAGCCCCACACCATATATGGGCAAACGAACTTTTTTCTTACAATACATCTACAACGCGTTGCTGTGCGCTCCGATCAAATTTGAGTGAACGGAAACCTAATAGCCGATTACTTTTCCAGGTCTGGTCGATCGTAACGTGTGAGGTTCCGTCAGGTGTTACGGAGGTCTTGGTCTAGTTAGCGAAGATTACCCGATAGTTTTGTTTGTTTGTTGAGAGGCTCCATAGTCGAGCAGCCGTGGGATGTCGCCGACGCCAGGAGTCGTACACCGAGAGTTATTTTGTCCACACAATCGAGCAGGGCGTTTCTGGAAAACGCAGGTTCTCCTTGTTCGGACAGATTAACCACTTAAATGCATGTTCCAAGCAAAAAAAAAAAAAAAAAGAACGAGAGGAAAACAAGAACGGCTATTAGATGGCCAGAGAAATGCGCTTTTCATGTTAGACTCGTCAAAATAATAGATGCTGAAAAAACTCCTAGTTCCTCGCAATGGCTGAGGTACTCGGCCATTGCGAGAAACTCGGCCATTGCATTCACTTCTCTGCTTTTTCTGGTGAAAGAGCCAAAGCACGTACCTGACCTCGCTATGGTCAATCGTCACCGTGGCAGCGAAGCGTCTAATGAATAGACGTTTGCTGTGTTGAGGGGTGAGGAGAGGATTATTTCATCTCAGTGATGTATTTTCCGCTTATTTGCTCTCCTAATGTTCTATGGTCTGATGTGCATCGGGATGACGCTTGGTTTCGTGCATCGCAGAACAGCCATGGCCAACGTGGGAAGCCTCAATGCGGTTCGCATCCTGAAAGGGGAAGCGGAGGAGGAGAAGGCCGAGACCGCCCGGTTGTCGTCGTTTGTCGGCGCCATCGCCATCGGGGACCTCATGAAGAGCACCCTCGGGCCCAAGGGCATGGTAAGCGTTGGCGGGAAACGCGTCGTTTTGGCGTGTTAAAGGTGAAATTTCGACGGCACGGAATTGCCTCAAAATTGGTTTGGCAGATTAATGGACACATCTAAACTACTAACTCAAATCGCAACATTTTCTCTTTTTTTCTCCAGCAAAGTTATTGGTTTTAAATTTGGTCTGAGGGGCTTTACCGGCAAGACTAAAGACAATGACGTCAATTGCTGCACTATGAGCGCATTATGGCTTGTTTTTCATGGTGCTAAATAAATGCTAATACGCCTCGCAAGTGGGCTCATTTTCGTCTTCTGCGCATGAGAAAGGAAGTAGCGGTGACGTCAGAACGCCGAGCCCTGATTGGCTGATCGCGACCCCCAAACTGAGCGTCGTCTGCTCCTTTGCAACGTCGTCTGCTCGCAACGTCGTCTGCGTCTGTCTTACCTTTCCTGCGACTTTCGGAAGTCGAGCGAGCTCGACTTCGCCTTTCAGAGAGGGCAGACGAAATAACTCGAGCGGTACGTTGTTTTTGTCTAACAACTAGCAGACACGCATCAAGGAGAGAAGTCAAAGGACTCACTGGCGAGTTGTCCCGAGGCGCTGAGGTTTGTTTCCTAAGAACCCTCCCAAATACCTTTCCCCTCCTTTCGTGTGCGGCGAGACCCCTCATTCTTTAACGGCGTCGGCGGGTTGGCGCAGTTAACGTCGTCTGTTTTACATCTGCTATCAAACGATGGCCGCTTTACCTTTCCTGCGTCTGTCGGAGATTCACCGCTTTTTCACCGGCGAGAGTCACCGTTGCCTCGGGAAACAAGGAGATAACAAGAGGAAGAAATTGACCTCTTTACTCTAAAACTGAGGTCAGCGATCAAAGTATAATACGGGAAGGGTTCACAAGGGTCGCGCGGGCATATTCCATTCAGCACTGCAGCCGGTCGTGGGCAGACGGTCGCCGAGTCGCGGAGTGCCTGCTAGGCCTAACTGCCGTGCTCGCTTGGTCGCGTTCGGTGGAATCGTGGCCGTTGGGGCCTTTCCCAGGTGTTTGTGGATCCAGAGTTCTTGTTCGTCGTGGTCTGTTTCAAGTACTTTTTAATTTTTTCTTGCTGCTTGAAGTCGGGACGCGTGAGAAGCGCACAGAGAAAAATAAACGTCCGTGGATCGTCGCGACCGCGACGCTGTCGGCCATGCTGATTTGGTCGTAAGAAGTGCGTAAGACAGCTTCGGAGCCGTCGTAGGATTTCGTCGTAACCTGCGCAAAACTTACGAAAATTTCGTTCCGTGAATACGAATTTGTTCTTAAGTTATGTCTTACGCACATTTTTGGCGTAAGATCGTTTCGTGAATCCGGCCTCTGCACTTCCGAAAGTCGCAGGAAAGGGAAGACAGACGCAGACGACGTTGCAAAGGAGCAGACTATGCTCAGATAGGGGGGCGCGATCAGCCAATCAGGGCTCGGCGTTCTGACGTCACCTCTACCCCCTGCGCAAGAAGCAGACGAACTTGCCCTCCGCATTAAGCTCGCACGAGCGAAACAGACAAAAAAAAGCGTGCGCAAAATAGTGTTTTTTTAGACTGCATGCTTGACTTGCAAGTCGTACAGCATGCCAGGTCACCTCCCTTTAAAGTACGGGAAAATTTTAATGTTGCTTTTGTCATCGCCTTCACTTGCCGTCTTCTCAGTGGCTATTTTGAGTTTAGAGGTAATAAGTAGCATGCCAGAAAAAGTAGAGCCTGTGTGCTGATTTCACTCATGCAGCGCCGACTTCCTACTATACATAATGGGGATAAAGTGCTGCGACAGTGATAGGTTATCTTCAGGTCGGCGCTGTTCTTAGTGCATCGGCGTAGGTTGCCATTCCTACACTTTGTTTCTCTGTTTTGGTGGAGGTTAACGGACAGGACGGAATGCAGTTGACACTTTTGAAAATATTCCTGCGTGCAGGACAAGATCCTGATGTGCAACAACCGCGGGGAGAGCAAGGTGGAGGTGACCAACGACGGGGCTACCATCCTCAAGGCCATTGGCATCGACAACCCCGCCGCCAAGATCCTCGTGGGTGAGCGAGTTGAGCGCTTCGCGAATGCCGCGATGCGTCGCACGACCGATTCGGGCGTGGACTGTCACCATACACGTTTGCAAGTATGGCCTCAGGACGGCGCCATCTTTCTCGGTTGGGGTGTGATTGGACACGGCACTATCTAATTACTGAGGTTAAGGCGTCATAAACGGATTATGGCCGCACCCAAGCGCACCCCAACTAAGGAAGATGGTGTCGCCCCGAGGCCGCACTCGCAAACATGTACAGGGACCGGGAAATGATACCGTCACTTTGGCTGACGAGCGCTCGGATGAACAGCTCGTTCTTCGAGATTCAGTAGGGGTTTGCGTACGCCAGTCGCTGAGCTAGAGGGGCGTTTTTGATTCTCGTGTTCCTCTCCTTTTCAACAGCATGTGTTCTCCATGATCTGATGGGATCCCACTCCTTAACGGAAGAAACAACTGAGGAATTGTCACGCTGCGACGGGTAATGTGCTTAAAGGGTAACTGCAAAGAAAAAAAGTGTATTTTTAGACAGCTTGATGGGGACAAGCATGTCACAAAACAAATCTTCTGCCAAAGACGAAATCTTTTACAGCAATATTTATTGCGCGAGATTCATTTTAGTTTGCGACTATTTCGTCCGTTTTAAATTGCGCGCCACAAAGTTGGTATTTTACGTCACGGAGTGACGTATAGCAGCCACTCCGCGCGCGTCGAAAGAGCAGGAGTTTCAAATGTGGAAAGTTGTGACTGACTAAGTTACGTCCTGCGGCGTAAATATTGCTGGAAAAAATTTGTTTTTTCGCAGATTTGTTTTGTGACATGCTTGTCCTGAATAGGCTGTTTGAAAACCTTTTTTTCTTTGCAGTTACCCTTTAATTGAGCTGTCGAAAGGTTGGAATTCAAAGGAGCCATATTGCCGCATGCGTAATCATGGAGGGGCGCTTCACCATGCTTCTAGAGGGTTTGTGATTACTTTTACCCCGAGTGCAATAGACGAGGAGGCCAACATGACCTTGCCGAGTCAGCCTCCCGAGTGTTCTAGGCTCGAAAATGTTTGAGGTACCGCAAAAAAAGAAAAAAATAGTTTAGCTGATGGCCAATCCCACGACGTGCCAGGAGACAGTTCCCGCCGACAACTTTCGTTTTGCGGTTTGTTCGATACGTTGGGCAAGAAATGGAAACGCAGCAACGGAACGCCCTCTCCAGTTTTGTTCACGCGTCGTCTGAGCGTCTCAACGCTACAGGGGATCTTTGTGGGGGGTGCGGCATGTTCACAGACATCTCCAAGGTGCAGGACGACGAGGTTGGGGACGGCACAACGTCTGTGACAGTGCTGGCCTCCGAGCTGCTCAAGGAGGCGGAGCAGCTCATCTCCAAGAAGCTCCACCCCCAGACCATCGTGGCCGGGTGGCGCAAGGCTACGGCTGTGGCGCGCCAGGCGCTGGAGGCATTTGCGGCCGACCACAGGTGGGTGTAGAGCCTGGCGTCGAGACAGACAGGCAACTTCGAGACATTCGTGCGCAGCGTCTCAATGTTGCCGGTCTAGTTTTAACGCTGAATGTGTTTTATTGGCCGATTTCCACGGAGATCTCTAACTGCCGACTGCAATGAGAAACTGACACTGAAAGGCGTTACACCCTTAGAGAAACATCTAAAAAGACTTGAGTCTCTTGACCTTCATATTGCGGGACAAGGGCTTTTCTGACAGCTATCCAGAGTCGGTCGGGGGGGGGGGGGGGGGGGGGGGAGGAGAGGAGGAGGAGGAGGGAGGGAGGGAGGGAGGGAGGGAGGGAGGGAGGAGGAGGAGGAGGAGGAGGAGGAGGAGGAGGAGGAGGAGGAGGGGGGGGGGGGGGGGGGGGGAGGGGGGGGGGGCAGGGACGAGGGAAGAGAGAGAGGGGGGGGGGGGCCAGGGGAGAGGGGAGGGGTTCAGAGCATGCAAAAGTGAAGCGATTCCCGCAGCCCGCTTCGCAGCCTTTCCTGTTGTGCCTTGCATTCTCGCGGCCTGTGTCAGAATTGAGAGCAAATCTTCGTTGGGCACTGCCTTTCGGGTGCCCTTCTGTTCTTCCCTGGAATTCCAATCGCACATTTTGTACTTAACAGCCTTTGTCAGCACGATCAAGCTTGTATAATGTTTGATACCACGTTCGCCCACTCGGAGAAACAAAGCACCTTGCAGTGCTTGTTGACAACTCTGTCGCCGGAGGGGGGGGGAAGGGGAATTGTATGTGACCCGGCATCCTTTCCTGCGCATCCTTGTGTGGCTCTGTGGGGTCGGCGGACGAGTTGGTGCACCGTAGTCGCCGACCGATAGTCGCAAGCTCTTACGGATGGATGCTTGGCTTTCAGCATCCGCTTGTCCTCCTTCCGTCGTGCTTTGGCTGCACGTGCACCGTCGACGCTCGAAAAACGCCGAGGCATTACTTGAAGGTTAGAAACTCGCACTGGAGGACCTCCCTGCCATTCTAATTTCGCCTGCGACCGTAGTCGTCCTTTAGTTTTGGCGTGGACGGGCACTGCCCACTGTCGTGCATTTGTATGGTCATTACCCTATGCTGCGCTTTTGAACAAGTGTTGCAGCGATAGTACTTGGAACGACTGAAGTGTCTCGCAACCGTGGTGATGGGAGAACTCCGTTTTGCCTTTCATGGATCGTAATGTTTGCTGCGGGCCGTTCCAGGCAACCCACCGATGTGAACGCATTGTGCGACCATGCCAGGGTGTCTAGGGACCGGGAAAACCCGGAATGGTCAGGGAAATTTCAATTACAGAGAAAAATCAGGGAATTGTCAGGGATATTGTCAAAAAACGAGCCCAGTCAGGGAAAATAAGCCGGAGATGCGATCGAGTGCCCTCACCAAAGACTTGAAGACTTGGGGGCAGAAACATAGGCAATAAATTCTGCTGAGAGCAGAGCGCGGGCTCTGCTAACCCAATGTAGCGTGTGCTACCCGATGCAAAGGAAACAGCCGACAAGTCCAGTCCAAGCCTTGGATTGGATTGAGGGCGCCACGCTAGGCTAGATCCAGTTAGAGCTACCAGATTTAGTAACAAATGGAAAAGCCGGAGACCCCAATCTACTCCAAGCCTTAAGCCGAAAGTATCCGAAGGTGTGCATCTGGCAACCATGCAGTCATTCGGTTATTGACGTGTGTGGTTGAGCGTCATGTTTTCATCGCATTTCCGGAAGTGGCCTCTTCACTGACGATGTCGGCGGCAAGAAAGTGCTTGTTGAATCCGGGCTGGGCGATTTTCGGTATATGCAAGTTGGAATAAGCCCGTGCAAAATGATCCTCACAGTGCTCAATGCCTTGTGTTGTGATGGTCTTATATATATAACTGTTAGGGAATTTCATCTGAAATTTATTTATTTATCTATTTATTTGCATACTCTCAAGGCCCGGAGGCATTACAGAGGGGAGTGGTACTATACAGTAAAAAAATCGTTGGCTACTTTCTTGAAGTTTGTGGCTTCAGTGATGGCAGCAATGGAGCCAGGGAGGTGGTTCCAATCGTTAGAAGTTCTTGGAATGAAGGAGTCGAAAGTATACGTTTGTTCGACATGATGTATACTTTGACATGATATACTTTACTTATATATATAATTTGACATGATGTCAAAGTATATGTTTGTTCCACATGTCAGGGAAAACCTGGAAAAGTCGGAATTTCGAAATAATAATTGACTAGGCACCCTGCACGCGCACCATGCATTGCTGCACCCATCCCGAAGGTTGCGTACGGCATTGGATTGCTCCACTGCAGCGACGGAAGTGCTACATCATTTGCGCCAAATTGTGCTCCAATTGAAAAGTCTGCTACATCTTGCACCAAAGTGCCATTTTTGCTAAGAATCGCGCCACACCTGCAGTGAGATCAGCAAAGCAAAAAAGAAAAATGTTTTTGGTTGACTTTACTATTTAGGGAAGTAGCAGGAAAGGAAAATGGTACAAATACTGTATTTCAAAGCATCTGTACTTACATACTTTCTTTTTTTATTATTTTGGTAAGAGTACAGTTGGAAGGCTCGATCGAACACATGAACACATACTAAAGGCGCAAGTCACGGTACATTTGCTGCACTTGATTCATTTCGTCGATAAAAGACCACGCGCAGGAAGATGAACGAATGTCATGATTGTCGTGCTTTGGTGCTGGTTGGTCCCATGGCTCATAGCAGTGGCTGCGCTTTAAAGTGACAATGAAGACAATTTTATTTAATTTTTTTAAATGGTGTTTTTAGGCTTCTTGGGAACCTAGCACGCCGCCTAATTTTTTTTTGTAGACATTTGTGACTCGTATTTCTGTGCCTACGAAAGAACTGAAGAAACCGAAACTGAACTATCTCCATTCTTATTTCTGGGTCTTTGAAAACTGAGGTGACGTAGGGAGGGACGTCAAGTGTGAATAGTCGGTTTCGGTGGTATGTATTTAGGAGAGGTGGGTTATAGCAGCGCAGTGGTGCGGTCGTTTCGTCGAATCTATTAACATGGACAGCAATGCCGCTCTCGCGAGCGAGTTCGGGCTTCCCTTCCGTGGCCTAACACCAACGGAACGGGAGTATCTGTGTGGCGGCCTCCGCCATCACTGGACGGAGACCGCCGAGCCGGCAACGAGCGGGCTCCGAGCAGGGTAGGAGTGAGTAACATTCACGCAGCGAATGTTACTCACTCTTTCCGAAGGACAGGGGCGCGGGGGAGATGCTGAGGGGGAAGCGGCAGCGGGAACTGGTTCCTCTGCGGGGGACGCTCCCCAAGAAGGAGAAAATAAACAGCACCATTTTTGGTTTTCACCAAAGTCGGACGTCCTCTCTTTTCGTCGTCAAAGAACACGAACAGCCGAAGAGCTACCCACACGTGAAAACTAGCGTTGCCCGAACGAATACTGGTCTTCAGTCGATTGTTAGAACAGCCATCTACAGCGCACAAATTTGGCATGGTATTTTGCAGAATCCTTCGAGTACCGTGTTCCCAAAGTAAACACGGCACCGACATCTGAAACCAAAACCAAACGTCTCCCGCGTGTTTTTTTTGTTTTGTTTTGTTTGCCCGTAGTTGCTCATTGCCCGTTTCGCGTCCAGCGCAGCAAAGAGAAAAACAATCATTCTGTTTATTTACGATTTAGTAATGATTTCCGGATCGATTTATACGTTTCAGGGTTATTCAAGCGGAAATTAGAGCAGTATCCTTAAAAATCGCGAACCAAGACGTGATTGAGGGCTCGTTTGGACCAATCGCTGACGCGTCTCTTGTGAAGTCGCGCTTCTTGGCCCCGCATCGGTCACCTGAGCTCCGCTTCTCCCGCAACTCTCGGGGCGTCGCCCCAGTCGATCCCGGTACGATTATTACCGCGACCGTATAATTGATTTGCGCAGCACACAAGCGCCGGTTTCGGCTGAAATTTGGGCAACGTGGCCCGAGACGTGCCTGGAACCCAGTTCAATCGCCAAAAAAAATATCCGAAATTGCCTTCATTGTTTCTTTAAAGTAAGGTGAAACGAAGTTTTGAAGCCGTGCTTGTCGGTCGGTGCGCTGGCAGATCGATCGCCGACATCATCTAAATTTCGACGTCGGTGACGTAAGGATTTAGGGTTGCGAGAAAATATTGCCAAATTGTAGGATGGCGGCTACTGTGATGAGACAAAACCGGGGTCTTGTACTTCCAATGAGATCGCTTAATTATTGCGTCTGCTGCGAGCCTCAGTCCCGCCTCTCACCAGTGCGTGCCCATGTCGAGCTTCACCGCTTGGCACCGCAGTGCCAGATGCAGCGACTGACATGGGGCAGCGCCTGAGTTTCCGCAATAGCTCGATAATTATGCTCAGTATTGTTTTAAGTCTTCTTCTTTTTGTCTTCATGGAAGGCTGATCTCCAATTTTAGATATCTGCGCCGAGAAAAGAAACATGCGGGTCTGTATTTGAATAAATGGTAGTCAAGGTTGTTCCCGTGCAACTATCAATAAAAAAAAAACGGCAAACTTTGGCTTCACCCTGGTTCCAATGTCGCTAAGCAGCAGTGTCATGTGCGCAAGTGTAGATTTCCATAATATTTGGGGGTAGTTGTTTTAGCAGTTCATAATAAGAGTTTGAGTTTGGTAAGTTCATGAACCTTGGGGAACATATTTTGTAGATAGACAAGCTGGCTTTTGTAGACATTTTACAGGACTGATATAAACAGGATAAATAAACTATCTGCTGTTAAAGTACGAGAGGAGAAAAGTTTTATGCCAACTGAAGTGTTGGACTATCATTCATTTTTCATCTATTTTTTAGTACCCATTCTAGATAGAACCTTCTATGACTATACTCCGCGACAACTTTTCTTGGCAATGCAGTGGAAGGTACGTCCCGCGTCCCCTCTTCTATTTTGAGTGTACGCAGGCTCTCCTCCTCCCCATTTCCGAGGAGAAGAGGAGAGCCTGTGTACACTCAAAATGGGAGAGGGGACGCGGAACGTACCTTCCACTGCATTGCCAAGAAAATTTGTTGCCGAGTGTAGAGCCTTATTTCTAAAAAGAATGCTCTGTGTCTCTTTGACACCCTATTTATTCTTATTTCGAAATATAATAAGTGATATACTCCAGTATCAAAGAGGAACCCTGAGTCATTATCAAAGATTAGCTCATTTATTGATACAATCACTTTTTTCATTTTCAAGTGAGGTGCTAACAGATGTTGGCATTTGCTGTGAAAGGATCAGTGACTGTTTCAATCTAATGTTTTGCCTGCTACAAAAACTGCTACAAAAGGTCAAATGCCACTTCCATTACTGCCAATGTTTTGTAGATTTGTCTGTGGCCCGTAGTACGGTGAAACGAAGCATAGGTGAAACTGGCGAAATTGCCAAGTTTCTTCAGAAAAGCGTCCCGGAAGAACAACGAAAGTGGCAGCTGACTTGGCTTCTTCGGCGGCCTAAATAAGTATCTTTGCAAGACGCTGGCTGCCATTCCGAGACTTTCAAATAGTTCAAGACGTTTTTATTTTCTCAAATTTTTGGTACCTTTTCGGAGAACTCCCCCATTTTCTTTATGCATTATTGTGGTGAACGTTGTCACGTGCAGCGCTAATGCGGAGCAGTTCCGCGAGGACGTGCTGAACATTGCCCGGACGACCCTGGGCTCCAAGATCCTGTCCCAGCACCAGGAGTTCTTTGCCAAGCTGTCGGTGGACGCAGTGATGCGCCTGAAGGGCTCCGGGAACCTCGATGCCATCCAGATCATCAAGAAGCTGGGAGGCAGCCTGACGGACTCCTACCTCGAAGAAGGTGATCCGCCCCGCTTTCAAACTATTCTCTCGCACGGGTGTTTTAGGGGCGAAGCTCCTTAGAGTCTAGCTTTGTCCGTCCGTCCGTCCCATCTGTCTTCTTAAAAAAAAAGAAAAAATGTTTGCGCAGTCGACAGGATTCGAACCTGTGCGGGGAGACTCCAATGGATTTCTAGTCCATCGCCTTTTAACCACTCGGCCACGACTGCGGGACGAGTAGGGGGCTCTGAGATGTGGTAGTAACTCAAGAGCTGGAGATGTCATGGATGAAACTTTGCATGTAGCCGCTCAACGTCTATACAGGAGAGGGCGCTGCGGTCAAATGCGCATATAATCGCGTTAAACTTTGCATGCATTAGCTCAACGTTTATAGACGAGAGGGCGCTGCGGTCAAATGGATGGATCCGCTAGAACAACCACTGGCTCTGCATTTCAACGACCATAAAGCTGTAATAATGAAGTTGAAACGCAACCTGGAACTCAGCACTACCTATGAGCAATAAAAAAAATCAGCACTACCTATGAACAAAATCAGTATCATCAGCACCACCAGAGCTTCGCCCCAATCAACATCATTCAGCACGTGGAAATGCAGTCATTTTTTTTAATTAACCTTTTGCTCTTTCCTGACAGTGGGAAAAACTGCCTGTTTTGTGTGGCTTGTTATGTTGTTTTTTTCCTGTGAAAACTATGAGGTTTACGGTATGATGCCATACATTGAAATAAAGCTGAATGAATGGACTTCTGAATGATGCAAACATCAAACCAGATATTTGAATTCTAATGAAATATCTAGTTTGTCGAACGCAATAATTTTTTGAAAAATTGCTTCAAACTGGGCATATCTCGAAAAAAAAAAAAGCACCAAAAAAGGAAAATTTAAAAAGTATTAAATGTTCCCCATTTACACAACACAGAACTCGCAAAAATGAGAGTTCTAGCTTAGACAAATTTTGGTAGAGCAAAAATCAAGTCAATTCTCATAACCAACATGCCATTGAGCTAAGCAGTTTCTCAATGGGGTGAAGCACAGGTCACTAGAACTGAAATGCGATGACCTGGCTTCATCATCAGACTCGCCGCAGCTATCCGAGTTCGAAAAATTGACGGGGGATTCACGAGATTTGCCGCTATTGCGGGGCGCGTGCCGGACCCGTGGAAGCAGCCGTGGCAGTCACAAACGACGATGTGCCACCGATCTCGCCCTCCGCTTCAAAATCGCTGCCATGCGAAAGGAGGAAGAGAGACACAGAAACTAAAAGTGTAGTCTTTAAAGTAGGTGTGAGATGAAAATATTTCTAGTTTTAGCAGCAAGCGTTAGCTTGCTGCTAAAAAAGAGAAAGGAGAGGGGGGAAGCTTGCTGCCAGCAAGCTTCCCCCCTCTCCTTTCTCGCCTCCCGTAAACCAGGAAAGACTTAAAAAGCTTGTTGCAAAAACATCAGGATGGGCGTGTCAGCAAAACAATCTGTCGATGAAGTGTTGTTCGGCGAACTGGTTGCCACCGGGTGGGGTGTTCCTTGACGAGGAGATGGGGTGCCAATGGGGGCGATTGGCTTGCATGGTGCAGGCTTCCTGCTGGACAAGAAGCCTGGAGTGCACCAGCCCAAGCGGGTGGAGAAAGCCCGTATCCTGATTGCCAACACCCCGATGGACGCGGACAAGGTGAAGGTGTTTGGGAGCCGGGTGCGCGTCGAGTCCGTGGCCGCCATCGCAGACATGGAGCTCGCCGAGAAGGTCAAGATGAAGGAGAAGGTGAGGCGGGCTTGGACCAGAGTTTGGCATTGCCCCGTGGTGAGATTCACCATGGAAAGTTTCTTTTTGGAAGGAAGGCAGAGACCACCTTTTTTATGTTTGTTTTAGGAGGCTCTATACTTTGTCTCACCCTACGATGGACTAAAGGCAAAGGCTACGGACCGCGAGATCCAATCTTGAGCCACTTAGAAATTGTGCGGTATTTCGCTTAGATACACGTACGGGTGCCCGCTTCTCGGATCACTGATGAGGGGAGGACAGTGGTTCAAACTGAAGAGCACTGAGTGACTCAACAATTTTACATTGCAAAGAAAGCCACGACATATAGGTTCTTTGCAGCGTCGAAGCTATAGAAATGATGCGGCGCTTTTGGATTCGGAGCATTATTCGTCCACCCCTAATCAATGTTAAAGGAGCTGTGCAACAATTTTTGTACTGTGCACAAATACCGCTTAAAACGGATCCCTAACGTTAATGACCTATGAAACACGCGTTCGTTTTTCACCCCACGCAATAGAAGTCCCAGAAAAAAATTTAAGAAAAACGAGCAGCGTTCACCCCCTCAACTCGCAGCCAGAACAAGCGGCCACGTGATCTGGAGCCGATTATATGCCGCCAGTGTTGATCATAGCCACGCGCTGGGGTTGGCAAAGGGCAGGACACGCGCTGAGTTCCAGACATTGTTATGGCTCGGCTGTTGTCGTCGTTGCAGCGATTGGACACGGGTCACAACCCGAATGCTTCTCGAGCTAGCAATTGTCACGAGCCCAAGTCGAGTGCCCACGCAATGCTCGGGTCCAATCTATGAACCGCATTCAAATATCGTCACTTGGGTGTACTGCGATCCCCGAGTTACGTCATCAAATTTTGCAAAGGAGAGATTGAATGAAAATGATCGCTTTTGTCCTTGAAATTACACCGCGACAATGGAGTTTCTTGGCCAATGGCGTTGCGTGTGAGTATCCTTGAGTCCCAGGTGTGCCATTAAGCTCGTGTAGAGAGAAAAACATCCCAATTGAATATCGTTGCACAGCTCCTTTAAGCGTGTCATAGTATAGCGTGGAACGTGATTGGACCTGGCGGCCTGTGGCTTTGGCCTTTAGTCCATCGTAGGATGAGACAGAGTATAGTTGGAATGGTAAAATCTGTTCCAGCTTAGATTTGTTTTTTTTATTCTTTTTGGGATGGTTTTGTGTGCAGCGTGCCAAGTTTTCGTTAAATCGAAACAGCAATGCAAAACTGGCTCACCAAACCGAGAAGAAAGAAAAGTACATACGCCGAGCGGGTGTTTCAAGAAGCGCCTTCCGCACGTTAGAATGCAAGGAGTGGCATGCCAATTAATGTGCAATAAAGAGTCCGTTAAGGATGCGCGATGACGGGGCAGCCAAGCGCGTGCCAACATTGGATGAGGTTGGAGGGAAAACAAAAGCACGTGGGCACATTTGGAGGGCAAACAAACGCTTGAGGTGTGCAAGGAGCAGACAAACTTGCACACCATATAGGTTACAGTGGAAGTGAACATAGGAATTCGAAAAAATTGTGTTACATTAGGAATTTTGCTAAATTAAGTTTTGTTATACCGAGATTCAACTTTGGGCTCATTCGATTTACTTACACCACCTGCATGGGGGCTGAGAAGTGTAGCACAATGAAGAAAAAGTACCTCCGCGTCTGTGTTCAGATAAGGTGCTCCCGTAAGTTGAATACGGCAGCCTGCACCGAGTGCACCTGGGGCAGGCAAATCGAATGAAATCTGTATAAAGCGAAGGCTCACTTGCCTTTGTGTATTCTGTAAGGTATTTTCTGCCTGTGTTTAATTTTGTTTCTGAGAAAACATTAAAACTAGAAAGGATTGTCACCTTTCTAGTATTTAGAGGGCAACTCTGCTTCCTTTTTGGTTTTGAAAAAACAATGCAGTCCTCTTCAGTGTCGCCTAGAAGGACCGCACGTCAAATATTACAACGAAGTTCTGTCTAAATGTTTCTTAAACGGTCCGGCAAACTTTTCAACTCGCGAAGTTGCCGAAATCTGCTGACTTGAGCGGGCGAATTCAGGCGCAACCAACAGCGCAGTCGAGGCTTCGCGTGGGCGTAGCCAACATTGAGCTAAACGTCATCACCATTGCCCCCTTTTGCTTGTTTTTACTTCTCCGGGCGAGCGTAGCGCATGACGTCAGCAACGTTACCTCTCAGCGCTCGGCGGTGTTTATGTGGTTGGCGTAACGTGCCTGGTGCAGCGCGCTTCTTGGGAGCCGTCCAACCGCCCGCCGTTACCGCCGTCGTTGTCTCACCGTTTCTGATTATTGCCTCTTGGAGTTTCGTCCACACTACGGACACCACGGGCGCAGATTTATGCCGCAGTTGTGCTGAAATCGTTGAATGCCATAGACACCAAAACGTGGCGAAGAGTGCAATGCAGACGACACTTGCGCCTGCCACACGCCCACCCCAATCCCTCCGCCCGTCGTTGGGCCGAGGATCACGTGACATCTTGTTCCACGTGATGGCCATGTTCTTGGCGGCCCAAGACCAATGTTGCCAGACAGAGCCGAAGTTTCGGTTTCGATTTCCACTCGTGTTTAAAATTAGATTTAAAAAGATATATCTAATTTTTTGCGAAGCAAACGACGTAGTATCTTTTACTAGGGCTTTTTAATGCGAAATCGCTCATTATCCCGAAACACAACAAAATTTCGGCGCTTATTTTTTGGTTTTTATGTGTGCAAAGGAGCAGCATCACATCGAACATACCAATATCTTGCTAAAAAAGTCACGAAAAGGATTTTTAAAACAAATTAAACGATTAGCAAAGAGCACCTGGTGGAGGTCACTAGCGCCTCGTTTGTAATACCCGTCTAGGAACCTTGAGAGGTAGTGACGGTATCTGTCTCGCCTCCGGCCACGACGAGAGAAGAGGGGAAGGAGGAACTCCCTTCTTCCCGAGAATCCCTTTTGTGTGACCCAGAAGTCGTTATTGACCCTCTACAAGATTATAAAAGATTAACCCGTCACTCAAAATTTGTACAAAAGCAACCGCTTCGGTGGCTGGAACGACTAGGCCATCCTCTCAACGTCAGCCTCGCCGTAGCTTTACTCGTCCTGAGACAAACTAAGTCACGATTGCGTTGGATTTCACGTGGTCTCCGCTGGCTGTTCGCCGAGCGCTTGCCAGAGTTGGCCGTTTATAACAAAAAATACAGCTACCAGGCTCAAAATACAAACATGCGATTGTGATTTACGGATATTGTGGATCATATTCAACCTATTTTTGAACACGACGGGAATATTTCAAATTTCGTTGAAGTATCCCTTTAATGTCTGTACTTTTTTTTCTTTTTTAGGGAATTTAAAATAATAATTATTTTTAGCTGGGTGCTGTTGCTGTTTATCAAGTGTGGTTAATCTTGTGTTTCAGTTTTGCCAAACTTACAAAGGAACGGTCTTCGCACAGATGCAACTGTCATCTCTTTGTGACCCACTCCTCGTCCACAGGTTGACCAGATCCTGAAGCACAACATCTCTGTGTTCATCAACCGCCAGCTCATCTACAACTACCCGGAACAGCTGTTCGCCGATGCTGGCGTCATGGCCATCGAGCACGCCGACTTCGACGGCATCGAGCGCCTGGCCCTTGTCACTGGTACTTTTTGTGATCCTTTGATTTCTGGTTCTAATTTGTTTCCCAGTTATTTTGCAATTGCTGTACTTTTTTTTTTTTTTTTTTTTGTCTTCACTGTATGGGAAACAGGTAGAAAGCCACTATAATGCTTAAACCGCTGGTTGATTTTCCTTCCATGAATAGGGAAAAGAACTCGCAAAAGAAAATTCCTCTACCTTCTTTCTTATAGTCTATCACAACTGCTAGCATTCAAGCTTTCTGTGACGAACGGTTCATTTGTACCATGCAAGATCTCTGGCCATTTGCTTTCTGGCGCTTTCAACGTTCGAGGATGGTTTCAGACTGCTGCAAAGTAAATGGCTTCAAGGACGGCCACCGCAAAAATTGCACCTCTATACCGGACAGCGACAGAGCCGAGATGTAGATAAGTAGGTCGCAGCGTTTGTGATCCACCAATTGCAGATGGGGAAGAATAAGGACAAGGGCCTTCTGCTTGCATTAGTTGTGCTTGTCCTCCGGGGATGCGTCGTTGCTGTTGTTTCAGTCTCTGTGGCCAGCAAGTTGCTCCAGTGAGCACGTTGGTTGGGACAGTGGTTCTCAAACTGAATTTCTGAATACCCGGGAGTTTCCCTGAGTGTCCCCTTGGTTTTCCCAGAGTGTCCCCATGGTTTTGCTTGAGTATTCCCATGGTTTCCCCGAGTTTTCAAATATCCTCAGCCATCCCTGTCTCCAATTAAGGTGTTTCTCTTGTTTAAGTGCTATTTTAGTACAGTATATTTGAGCCCTCGTTTGTGCATAACTATGAGCCGAATGCCCATACTATGCACATTACTGCTTGAAATGTCTGTTGTCTTCTACACTGCTATTGAGTCAATACAGACTATAAGGGATTTTTCGGTTTGAAATTCAGGGCAGATAGGGGTTGCATCAAGTCCAGATATTTCAAGCTAGGGCAGTGTTTCCCAAACTGTGGGTCGCAAAACAGCTCTGAAACTTGAAAAAAAAAAAAAAAAAAAAGATGCAAACTTGGCTTTTTTGTGGTAGCATCATTGAAAGTAGAGTACCGGTCACAGCTAAAACAGAGCTAGAACTGAGAGTTGCAGTGCCCAAACTTTGCCTAATTTTGAGAAGCTGCTCTAACAAACAAGCTCACTTAAGTCATTAGGAACAATCATTCCTGCTTCCATGCTTTTTTTTTTTTTTTTATGCTTTTTAGATTAGTTAGCTGATTCAGCCCGACTATACTAACTAAAATTTCAGCATCATTTGTGAGTATATTGTTTATGCACTGAGGTCGGGATGCTTGTAGCATTGTGAAAAGCCGGCGTGATAGGGGGGGGGAGTATTCTTGATGCAACATTTTATATTTGTGATGGGTCACAGCTCTAGAGGGCGTGGGAGGGTGCATTCCAGTTGGACTTCCCCGTGCTAGCGGACGAGGACACGGGGGTCCCCAAACGGTCTCCCTCTTCCTCCTCAGGCGGCGAGATAGTGTCGACGTTTGCGAGCCCCGAGCTGGTGCGGCTGGGCACATGCGACCTGATCGAGGAGGTGATGATCGGTGAGGACAAGCTGCTCAAGTTCTCGGGGGTACCCCTGGGGGAGGCCTGCACCATCGTGCTCCGGGGCGCCACCCAACAGATCCTGGACGAGGCCGAGCGCTCGCTCCACGACGCCCTCTGCGTCCTCTCGCAGGTGAGCCGTCCCCCTCGAGCCTAGGTCGCAATCCGATTACGAAGCATCACTAAGGTATAGCAATCGGATTATGGCCGCGCCCAAGAGCGCACCCCACGGAGCAAGAGGGCAGCACCCTGAGACCGTACTTGCAAACGTGTATACTCCATTTCAGCGTGACCTGGTGAACGCCAACAGTTAATGTCACTGTCGAGCCCATCGAAGCGACGTAGCAAAGTCCGCGACAGCTCTCCATAAGAGGAGTGTGCTCCTACTGTAGTATGTTGTCGCACGCCTCCCCGTAATGCTCCAATTTGCGCGCTGGGGCCGTGGCTTTCGGCATATGCTAGGCTGTGTTTACACAGTGTGTGGCAGTATTTTCGACTGCTTTATTCACGAATCTTGCTGAGTGCAGCAGAGGTTGGCATTGGAGGAGCGACCGACTACATGCAATGTTTCCTTCTGCAGGTTGTGAAGGACAACCGGGTGGTGTTCGGCGGGGGCAGCTCGGAGATGCTGATGGCGTCGGCTGTGTCGAAGCTGGCCGAGTCGACGCCGGGGAAGGAGTCCCTCGCCATGGAGGGGTTTGCCAGGGCTCTCAGACAGGTTTGTTCGAACTCCTTGCTGCAGGGCGGTTGAACACGAATACCTTTGTGTGTGCTGTGAAAGGCCGGTGTAAATTTAGAATTACCTTGCATCGCAAGTTGTAACGCATCAATATTGAAACCGGGAGGCTGTGTTGCTGAATTGGGGAAATTTCTCGTAAACATAGCTGCGAGGGACAAAGGGAAATCAAATTTGGATGCATGTAAAGTAAGGAATATATGTCAATTAAAAAAATTTTATATCTTAGATGCATTCAAATTAAGTTCATATTTGTCCCTTGGAGCTAGGTTTTCCCGGCAGGGTTGAAAATTTCCCACAGTTCAGCAGCACAGCCCCTTGGCTATCGATCAAGAGTGACAGGCATTCCTCGAGCAGGGAAAAGTTGGGGAGCCTTTCCCCTACATGATGGGAATTAAGGGAGTCTGGTGCCAATGGTTGGGAAGTTTGCTTTCCTTCTCTGTCTACTCCTTGCTTAGCCAACACGAGTCGCTTTGCCGTGGCATAAATTTTTGATGAAAAGAGAAGCTCGTATCTAGTGGTTTAGAAACTGTGTGCATATTATTATGTAGTGCTTGTTTTGTGTTAAGCGGGAAATGAACTCTGCCCTAAAACAGTCCTGGTCATTCTATCCTCTTGAGAGCTTAAACTAGAATAGGACTCGGAAGCACTTTCTGATTGATGACGCTATGTGGATTCAATACCAAACTCGTCATTTGTTTTGTTTAAACGGTGCCCGGCTTGTATGGGTTGGCGGAAAAAGAGCTGCGATTGTCGTCGCGCAATTTTTGATCATTGTGATTTTTGTCTCCACTCAGATTCCGACGATCATTGCCGACAACGCCGGCTTCGACAGTGCCCAGCTCGTGTCTGAGCTCAGGGCCGCTCATTCGGAAGGCAAGAAGACTGCCGGCATCAGTAAGCCAACTCAAACGTGCTTTTGTCAATTTTTTTGTGTCCGTTCCTCTTTCAAGATTCGCTTGGATCTTCAAAGATGTTTGTGTCAAATAAGCAGGGTTTCTGGGAAAACGATTGCAGTGATTTTTATTCACAAAAAATAAACTATCCATTGGCGTGTGCTCAGTCTTGGCCCAGACGTGGCTCCAGCGGTCTGCACCAGACGTTTGTGTTTCAGAGCTTGCCGTGATCTGATTAAAAAGTTATAAGTGATTTTCAGAAATTTCCAACGAGAAAATAGCGGCCGAGACGTACAGCTGCACTGGAAAAGAGTAGCACAAGTGACCGACGCCCAGAGCGGAAGAATGGCGACACGCGGCGCTATTGTTCCCGCGATAGTTCCATATCTCAACGCGGGGGTGGCGGACGGAAAGCAGCCCATGCTAAAACTCGTATTTCAAAAGCTATCTTATCCCTTAATTTTCTGCCGGCCACCCTCGCGTTCGGACATGGAACGTGACTGGCACTCTCGCTATCGGCGCGCTCGGGAACAATAGCACCGCGTGTCGCCATTTTACCGCACCGGTCATCAGTCACTCGTGCTGTTCTTTTTCCGTTGCAGCTGTACAGTGTCGTCCACTGGAGACGGGCCTCATTTCCTCGTTGAAAATTTCAGATAATCGCGAATGGCATTTAAATTGGGTCACGGCAACTTCTGAAACTTTGGCATCTGGTACCTATATTTGGGTGGAAAAATGGGTGTTCTGCAACACATAATTTATTGTTGCGCCGAAAAGAAAAAACTAAAATTTGTTCTCTGATGCTTGTACCTGATCCCCTATTGTGAAGATTAGTGCAAACTAAGACTGCCACAAAAATTCACACGCAATTGTTTTTTTTGTTGTTTTTTTCTCGTTCTTCAGACATGACGGAAGGCTGCGTGGACGACATGTGCAAGCTGGGTGTGACAGAGGCTTTTGTGGTGAAGCGCCAGGTGCTGCTGAGCGCTTCTGAGGCGGCAGAGATGATCTTGCGGGTGGACAACATCATCAAGGCTGCCCCGCGCCAGCGCCACCCCGACAGGAGTCACTGAGCCGGGGAGCACGTCGGGCCGAGATCGATGGAACGTAATTTAAGGCAGGGCCGGACCTGCCATTCGTTTTGAGTTTGTTTTATTATTTGCTAATAAAAAGAATCTGTCCGCTACCTGGCCTTTGTGTGATTTCCGGCACCTCGTTGACTTTGTGGCAAAGCGCTGGCCTATGGGTCCCCAATTGCGGGTTTGAATAGACCCTTTCCGAAATTCAGTCTGGCCACTTTGATCACTATCATCATCACCTGAAAAATGGCATATGCGCCATACCAATGGCGGCTTTCTATTTACTGATGAAGGAACATGTTGAAGATACTCCTAAGCTGAGGATTCGAGGCCTATACATTCTAGACGTTAGCACGTTGCGTCACTGGAATTGAATGCAAGCGCTGCGTAAGTGTTCATTTCTCTAATTCGAGCCCAGTGAGCCTGTTAGTGGCACAAAATCGACTTTGAAACCCCTTGACTTATAGAACTTTATCAAGGCGTCTTTCTGGGTTGGCGCTTCGTTCTGACTGGTTGCATCGTTGTAAGAATCGACCACTGGAAGAAATTATCCAGAAAAACCTGTATAGCGAAAAGTTTATTCTAGTCTGCCGTTGACAGGCAAAAGTGACTGTGCCTGATAAAATACTGCAGGCTACGGGTTAATTGCCGCCATTCGTATGGCAAAAGTTAAACCGCCATTTCAGCCACCAGATGGCACTAAATTTCGGAAAGGGTCTATTCCGGTAAAAGTGCCCGTAATCTGACAAAGGCTTGTTGTGCAAAAGGTGCCTTGCAGCCGAGATTTCGCTTGCACGTCGGAGGATCCCTAGGTGGTCGAAATGAATCCTAGTCTTCCACTGGGGTGTGCCAGATGCCCTTCGTTGTTTTTTGGCATGTAAACCCCAAATGGGATTTCGACATGAACTTGAGGCTTGTTCCGAGGAGACGAGGCATGCGTTAACTCCGCTAGCATCACCACTAGAGCCACCTAACGTAGTATGCTTCAGAGTATCGACTTTTGCAATCATTGCTTGGAATCATCGTTGCCAGTTATCTAAAGCTTTATCCAAAATCATGGGATTCCCTCTTGTGCCCTTGTAATGTTAAAACTGCACCTGTCATTTATTTGCTAACAAAAAACATTGTCTCACCCTGCCTCTATTAGCATTGGGACGTTTCAGTAACACGATTTGCTGCGATGTCACGAGTTGTGATCCTGGCTACTTGTCATCAGTTGCAAATAACGTTACTACAACTCAGTTGGGAAACTCGCCCTTGAAACCCGGGTTGCTCGCGTCTACCGAGACCAAACTAGATACGATTACAGCGCCGCCCTTTAGAAGCAAGTCAAAACGCGAAAGTTTCTTCATATAGCTACTGCGAGATGGCGCCACCGTCCCTAGGACACCTCGACTGGGAGAAATGGCGGCGTTGCAATCACGTCTAGTTCGGTTCACGACTACAGATCGGAGCCACTTTTTTAAAGCAAGCTCCTGTGGCAGTTTCCCAACTTGGCAAACATTTTTTTTTTTTTTACGGTGTTTGGGCGTAAAAAGCATGGAAGCTCGGATTAATTGCAATCCTAAACCAACACCGTCGAAGCTGCGCCTGACGTTGCTCGTATTTTTTTCCCACTAAGGATGTCATAGCGAGCGTTTGACCGATTGTGGAAAGCCGATTACATCGACAGGATAGGTCGCGCACGTCGCCAATATTTTTGATGCTTTTTTCTGCGACGCAAGGCCTACATTGACACGACTAGTGCCACCTGTGCTTCCGAATAACAACGTTCAACCCGTCTTGTTGCTTACAGGGGTGGAACAGCACCATATGCGCCAAACCAAAAACGCGCACCAAAACAATCTTTTTTTTTTTTTCGGTTTTTATCAGTTTGCAATCCGTTAGTCGGCTCGTTTTGCAACAGTAGCTATGTTTACTTTGACTTGCGTACAGTCGTTTGTTCTTTTTTCTACTTTTCTCGGGTTCTGTTCATCCTTGCATTGCATCCCAAGACGGAAGTGCGCGAAGAAACTCGGGGGTCAGGTCCCATGAGGGTTACTTGCGACCGGGTCGTTATTCCTCAACTATGCAAGTGGTTAATCGAGTCGTCATTCGTCAGATTGACCCCGGCTTTGCAGCCAGATATCCCGTCGTCTGCCAGTTGACAACAGATTAACAAAAATAAGTCGAACTTTTTAGAGCACTTTGTTAGAATTGAAATCGCTAAAAGAAAGTGTTTTGCCATGTTTCTAATAACGCATTTTAAAGAAAGTTATTGCGCTGCGACACCTTGGTCAGGTGCTAAGGAAAGCATATTTTTTATTAACTATTAATTATACTCGGTTGACGATAATAAACACCAGAGAAGGGGACAAAGGACAACCCTAAATCTCCAAGCACAGCTAGGTGACTAGCGTGCGACTGAAAAAAATCCATTTGCTCGACTGACTTTTCACTCCTTCCTGGTTAGCTCAGTTAGTAGAGCGCTCCACTGAACATGGATAGGTCCCTGGTTGGATACCAGGACCAGGCGGATGTTTTTCAGTTGCGCACCAGTCAGCTAGCTGTGTTTTGACATTTATGTTTGTCCTTTGTCCCCCTGTATAAGGATTATTATCGTCAGTCTCGTCCAGCTCGCTTGCACCTTTGCAATAATTGCACTACTATCATAACCTTAAAATGCAGGCTGTTCACCCTTGCTGGTGTTATACTGGTGGCAGCTGATAAAACTCGTTTGCTCTGCTGACGGCTGACACCTGGTTAGCTCAGTGGAATAAAGAAAAAAAAAAAACAAAAAAAACCTGGTTAGCTCAGTTGGTAGAGCACTCCACTGGAAATGGAGAAGTCCCTGGAGGACCACGAGAATTTTTTTTCAGTCACACCAGACCTAGCTCTGTTTGGAGATTTATGTTTGTCCTTTGTTCCCCTTCTCGGGGGTTATTATCGTCAATCTTGTCCAGCTCGCTTGCACCTTTGCGTTAATTGCATTATCATTATACTCGGTCTTTTGTGAATCGTGTTGCTAGGTAAGTAAGCCACGCAGAAATTAATAAGGACACACTGCAAAAACATGTCGTACTGCGTACTCGTTACTGTTAACAAAGAGGTTGTAATTCTTTTTAGGAAAAGACTCAAAAAAGTTTCAGGTTTCGACATCTGTTACGATGCCGAAACTTGAAACCTGAACCTTGAAAACTTGATGCCATCTTGTTAGGTCTCTAGCCACTCATGCTGCTTAATGGTGCTAAGCACGATAGAAATAGCTTCTGACCTTACCCAAGATCCAGGATGAAGTGCCCCTTGCCAGCAATGAAAGACGACGATCTGAGCTGCTCCTGACCTGCTCCAAAACGCAGTTCGAGCTGTTCCCAAGGCTGCTCCCGAATGCATTTAAGCAGTTCCACCCCCGTGCTTAAAATAAGTTTTGCTTCCTTGTTCTGCATGCAAAGCTCGCGAAGTTGCATTTTAGAATTGTAACTGTGTCGCCATTATCACTCGCTTTGAGCAAGGTAACAAGATGGCGGTGCCAAGACGAATGGAGTGCCGATACGTTAGGCATAGCTTTTATTGTGACGCGACTTTCGCGTTCGCAGAACAAGGGTCGTCGATATGTGAAGGAAACGCGAAGCGTGGGTTTTATCGGGGGGGCTCTAGCTACAGCGTCGTGGTATCCCCACCTACTGCTTTGTACCATTATCGTAAAGTTTCACTAAAGCGCGTGTCGGGGACCTTCATGGTGATTCCACAATCACCCTGGTACCCCCTCCGAACCGGTAGAGCCACAAATTTCGGGAGAACTTTGCCTGATTGGTAAGCTCTAAAGTTTATGTGTATTATCGCTCGTTTTTTTTTTTTTTTTTTCTTTTTTTGACGCTAAGTACCGAGCACGCGCTCATCTCACAGTAAGCGCCCATTCACTGCTTTTTAAGAGCGTCTGAATGAAAAACAAGCAAAGTTAATTGGTATCGACTTCTCATCCCTCAGACTTCTGAGCCCGCCGAACAAACGGAGATGCTCGTCCGCGTCGGCCGCTTCTCCTAACACGCCGGTGCAGAGCGGTGAAGCCTACCCTATTGCGATCCTCCTCCTGTAATTTTGATCTCGGACCTAAAAATCTGTGCCCGCAGCCGGTACGACCATCACGAGGCTTGCAAACACCAAATCGTTTCACGGTTACTCCGAGTTGTGCGTTAGTGTACGACGCTGGTGAGGCTGATGGCGCGAGCGTGTGCGTGCGTGCGTGCGTGCATGCATGTGTGCGTGTGTGTGTGTGTGCGTGTGCGTCTGTGTGTGTGCGCGCGCGCGTGTGAGTGTGTGTGTGTGTGTACTACGCATGAAACCCAGTATAGTAACATTTGACCGACCGAGATTGAACCTTTAAACGTCATCGTTGCAGAACACAGGCATGGGTACGTTCACAGATTGATAGCGCATTCAGGGTGAGTGGTTCCTAATCTTGGATAGTAGCGGTCGAATGTGAAAATGTGTTTTCTTACCCGATACTGACTAGCTCGGACGATGACTCTGTGCTCCCGGTCTTTCACCATAAAATGAAAAGACAAAAAACAGTTTAGTGGACTTTCTTTCGATTGTTTTGTTAGAGCAACACCTCTTTTTTTAAATTTAATATTACCTTCGAAAGTCGGTCTTTTTTTTTTTTTTTTGTCACACTGCCGGGATCGAGCATTGCTAGCTCCATTGAGTGCGCTTCTCACCGTGCTCTGTTGAACTGCAGAGAAGCGACATTCCCAGAAGAGCCATCGCGATCCGGCTTATCGTGATTGATTGGCCGCAGCGCAGCAGCGCGCTTAGCAAGTGTAAAACACTCTTCCACAATGTGAAGGTACACTGCGCGGCACTATTAAAACGAACACGACTTCGGCGCTTTTCTTTTTTCTTTTACTTCGAAAGGTTATTGGTAGGCAACAACCGTCACCGCTTAGGTTAGTTACCCTAATGAGTACTTTCCACCGTATCAGTATTTTCGGCGGCTATCCATTGTTTCTAAGAGAAAAACAGAAAACGGGCGAGTGCTTGTTCGCGCTAACAGTGTTGTCCTGTGAACATACGTTTGCGTCGGGAAACTTGAAAAGAAAAAAGATGGAACTTGGTAATTACTGATCTGATTAACCTATAGCATGTAGTGAAAGATTCAAAATAATACCGCGGCTACGGTCTCTTGGAGGCCACAAAATTTTCTGGTCGACATGATTGCTAGTTTCCTCCCCTCCGGCGTTCGCTCTGTTAAAGTGAAAAGAGTGGAGGGCTTTGTGGGTGGGGTGCATTTCCTGCTTTCCTTAACCTGCAACAGACTTGTAGGCAGTGTTTCTCCAACGAGTGAGACTACTCTTTTTTTTTAAGTTTTAAATGGCACCTAAAGTAATGATTCCTTCGGAGTAACGCTATCTACAGCGGAGAATGTCAGGCAGAAAGTGTAAATTGATAATTAGCCAAGTAATTGGCGGAAATCGACTAATTAGCTTTCCAAACATTTGCCTTTACCGCCACGATCGCACGTCGTTAAATATGCCATAGCTGCTAGAATTTACATTGCTCGTGCTAAAATAAATATATCAATAAAACGAATATATCAATATATCAATCAATGATCGTGACTTCTTTTCCAATTTGAGGTTTAAAGAAGGAATCCTTTTGGTGTCCTCGTTTAGGTGTAGTTGGGCAGAACTATGAATTTATTTTTTTTGTGTCAAATCACTATTTCCTTTTTTCAAAACACAGTAACAAAATATTAAATTAGAACCAAATTCGCTTTGCATTTCGGTGAATGGGAGCTCGGGAATAATCTTAATTAACAGGTTCAGCTGGTTATTTTAAAAAGGCATATCGATCTCTGCCATGCTGATTTTGTATTATCATAAAACTCTACGTCTAGAATGCCCTTGGCGTGCATAATTAATCATCTGAATTAAGATTTTCGCCTTTTTATTGCAATCTTCAGAGCTAAAACGAAGCATCCAATTTTGTGCTCAAAATTATTATATCCATTTCACTGAAATAGTATTTGGTGAGCCTCTGATCTATTCGTACAAAAATGATTCACAGATGGCCAGGCTATGGCCTTCATCAATCAGCATCTGTTTCTAACGTGGCTGCTGCAATTCGCATTTTTATACAAAACAAACGACTTTGACAGAATATTATTGTTGTAAAGCCAAGCCTTTTTTTAGAAGGGGAGAGAGAGAGAGAGTTTGGTTGACCGGAGTTTTCATGACTTCGGTTGGTCTCAGCTGTCTTCGTGTGCGTGCATGTGTGTTTGTGTGTGTGTGCGTGCGCGTGCGTGCGTGTGCGTGTGTGTCTGTGTGTGTTTCTGTCAGAAAAATACAAAAACAAAAGAAGCCCGCGCTTTGAAAGCGCGAAAACAGTGCAACTTTTGCTCCTATGAATCAGCCGAACTGTTACAAGCCCACAGCCCAGCACAGCGTGCTTGTCATTTGGGAAGCCAAATAAAGCTAGCACACAGCACACGCTCGAACGCTTCAAGTGACACCTGCCGGGAACCCTTTCCTGTATCCTCTTTTATTTCCCCTGCAGCGGCGTCGACAACGCGAAATGCATTCCAGCCGCGACTGTTCAAGTTTTGCCGCCGCTTTCGTCCCTCCCGACTGTCCCGTGGGTCGGCGGGCAGTTCGATATCGCTCATGGCAACGCGCTGTTTGGCTCTTCGTGCACAACAGTCCGGAGGAGGAATGAAAGCTGTTTTCACACTACCGGAGAAGACTCACGGCCCCGGGCCCGTCTTCTTCACTTGGCAAAAGGCCGGCGGCAACTATCTGGTGACCACGGGCTACGACCAGAACGTGAACGTCTACGACAGGCATGGCAACCGGAAGGACCAGATCACTCTGCCCGGGATGTGCTCGGGGCTGGGCTGGGAGAAAGATGGCGACGTGCTCGGTATCATCACGGACAAATCACCCATCTTGATCCTTTGGGACGCCAACAATCGGAACGTCAGTCAGGTGGACACTGGACTGAGGGACGTGCTGACGCTGCTTCTGTGGGCCAAGACAGGACCGTTTGTTGCCATCGGCACGTCCAAGGGAAACCTTCTGGTTTACAACCACCGATCGTGCAGAAAGGTGCCCATCTTGGGAAAGCACACCAAGCGAATAACGTACGGCGCCTGGAGTCAGCAGAACATGCTAGCTCTGGTTGGCGAAGACAACGTGCTGACCGTGAGCAATCAGGAAGGAGACACCCTGTGCCAGACGAGTCTCAAGTCGGAGGCCACGCTGGTTCAGTTCTCGTGCATGAAGCGGGATGAGAAAAACACAGTGGAGAACACCGTGAGCCTGGTGCTCAACAAGAGGACTTTGCTCCTTTTGGACATCTACGACCCTGAGAACCCGTACGTGCTTGCCTTTCAAGAAATGTACGGGAAGATAATTGAGTACCGGTGGTACGGAGACGGCTACATACTCTTGGGCTTCACCAACGGCTACTTCGTCGCCATCTCGACGAGCTTGAAAGACATCGGTCAAGAGATGATGCAAGTTCGTTGTCACAAGCAGTCGCTTTCGCACATCGCCATCTGCCTTCCGCAGAACAAGGTCGCATCTTGCAGCGATAACGTGATCAAAGTGTATGACCTCTCTGATCTCCAGGAAGTTCAGTCTGTTATTACAGTTGATGACGAGCGCAGAATAGAATGGCTCGATTGGTCCGACGATGGACAACTTCTGGGCGCTAGTGGTGCAAGTGGTAGTCTCCACGTCTTTCTTACCAAGCTCCCAGCCTTGGGGAACAGCCTGGGTCACCGTTACGCCTACCTTACCTCTCTTTATGAAGTTACCGTAGCAAGTGTCACGGAGCCAGAGCTTCAGATGACAGTGAAAGTAGACATTGAGCCTGGCTTTATTGCTTTGGGACCATTCCACTTGGTAGTTGGCATGAACAACCGCGCATGGTTCTACGCCTTAGGCGACAAGTCTATGCTGCCGCTGCAGGACAAGGAATACCTAGGAACGGTGAAAAGTATGAAACTCAATGGTGATTATGCCGCTGCACTCTTCGACGGTAAAGTACAGATGCAACTCATAGAAACGGAGCAGAGCGATATGGAAGAACGAGAAAGCAAGCTTTTCCCAGACTCTAGTCAAGGTCAGGCGAAAATTACTTGTCATAGCGTAACGGAGGAGTTCCTGATGTACGGTACTGACGCCGGAACCATCGAATTTTTTTTCCTCGAAGACTGGACAATTGTCAACCGCTACCGGCACACAAATGGCATTCGACAGATTCACCCCGATTCATCGGGTACTCGATTGGTGGTGGTTGACAATAAGTCGGAAGGGTTCATTTACAACCCAGTCAACGACCACATCGTAGTCATCGAGAGCTTTCCTACAACTACTAAAGGTATATTTTGGGATCAGTATGTGGAGAACCACGGCTGCTTCGTAGCATTTGACGATCACAACATCAGCATGTATGTCTATACTCCGGAGACGGTTGCAGGCGCCACGGTGGAGCCCGTGCGAACCATTTCGGTTCCTTCCGGACAGAACCCGCTTCTACTCCACTGTGGAAGTCTCACCTGCCAGACTCAGAGCGGCAAGACAGCAGTACTGCTTGTTTCGTCCCAGGAAGAGAAAGGCAAGATCACTACAGCCCAGCAGCGTCAGGCACTTTCTGAACACTTGAAGATGCGCAAATTCCAAGACGCCTGGAAGATATGCGTCGAGCTCGACTCAAAGAAGGACTGGATTGAGTTTGGGAACGCGGCCCTGGCAAACCTTGACCTTGATTTAGCAACACGCATCTTTCGGCATATTGGGGATGTCGGGATGGTTTGGTCGTTGCAGGGAATACGCCTCATAGAAGACAAAAATCTTCTAGCCGGACATCTGGCAATGTTCAAGGGAAACTTCGGACTCGCGCAGGACCTCTTTCTGGCTTCTAGCCAGCCAACGGCCGCCTTACAAATGCATAGAGACCTGCTGCACTGGGAACAGGCACTGCAACAAGCCAAACGTCTTGATCAGCAGCAAATGCCTTTCATCTCCAGGGAATACGCCCAGCAGTTGGAATTTTCCGGCGACTACGCTAATGCCCTAGTACACTTCGAGAAAGGGATCACCGGAGAACTTGATCACGCGGAGCATGACAAGGCGTGTCGCGCCGGAATTGCACGCATGTCCGTTCGGTGCGGCGACATACGTAAGGGCGTGCACATTGCTATGCAACTGGAAAACAGAGTGCTTCAGAAGGAGTGCGCAGAAATTCTGGAGAGCATGAAACAGCATCAAGAGGCAGCTGTCTTGTACGAGAAAGGAGGTTATCACGACAAAGCAGCAAGCCTCTACATTCGCTTGAAAAACTGGACCAAGGTTGGCAACCTGCTTCAAAACATCGCGTCACCCAAAATTTACGCGCAGTACGCGAAAGCCAAGGAGGCGGACGGGGACTACGAAGAGGCTGCTAAGGCGTACGAATCCGCTCGGGACTTTGAGAATGTCATTCGAATCCACCTGAACCATTTGAACAAACCGGAGGAGGCAGTGCGCCTTGTAAAGGAAACCAAGTCGGTCGAAGGCGCCAAAATGGTGGCGAGGTTCTTTCAAAAGCTCGGTGACACAATTTCCGCCGTGCAGTTTCTGGTGCTTTCCAAGTGCACGGATGAAGCCTTTCAACTCGCCAAGACAGCAAAGAAAATGGACGCCTACGCGGACGCCCTTGGGGACAGCGGGTCGGCTGACGACTTTTACAGCATTGCGAGCTACTATGAAGAAGCGCGGAACAACTTAGAAGCCGGAAGGTTTTACCTCAAAGCCGGTCAGCACAAGCAAGCCGTCAAGCTCCTTGTCAAAGCAGCCAGCAAGGACGATGACGCCGCCATCGGTCTCGCAGTCCAAGCCGCCGCGGAGGCTAACGACGACCAGCTGACCAGGCAGCTGATCGAGTTCCTGATGGGCGAAACCGACGGCATTCCCAAAGATTTCAAACACCTCTTCCGCTTGTACATGGGTCTTCGTCAGTACCGGGAGGCCGGCAAGACTGCCGTGGTCATCTCGCGGGAAGAACAGAATGCGGGCAACTACCGCAACGCACACAACGTCCTTCTAAGCATGTACCGGGAGCTCAAGAAACAGCACATCAAAGTGCCGGCCGAGATGCACTCTAATCTAATGTTGCTACACAGCTACATCCTGGTCAAACTGCACATCCGACAAGGAGACCACACCCAGGCTGCACGTCTTCTCGAGCGGGTCGCCAACAGCATCAGCCGGTTTCCCGCGCACACGGTGCCCATTTTGACCTCCACGGTCGTGGAGTGTCATCGCGCGGGACTCGGCAACTCCGCTTTCGTTCACGCCAGCACACTTCTCCGGCCCGAGTACAGAGGCCAGCTGGACCCCAAGTACCGTAAGAAAGTGGAAGGCATCGTGCGCAAACCGCATCGCGAACAGGGGCCCGAGCCCACGGCGCCATGCCCCTTCTGCGAAAGCAGCGTTCCCGAGATGGAGCTCGTGTGTTCCCACTGCAAGAACACCCTTCCCTTCTGTCTGGTGACAGGCAAGCACGTCCTCAGGAATGACCTGACCCTGTGTCCCAAGTGTACTTTCCCGGCTATACTCTCAAAGTTCAGGGCTCTGCTTGAAACGGAAAGTAGCTGCCCCATGTGCTCGGAGACCGTTGTGGCGAGTGAACTCGAGTCGCAAGATTTCGATCCGAACTTGTGCGGTCAGGATTAGCATTTGTGTGCCACCAGATTAGCTCGATTAAAGATCTCGAAAGTCGTAGTGGCCACACTGTTTTGGGTGCTAGCTTTGAATAAAGGCACTAATCAGTGTAACGACACTTCCTCCATCTTGTTGCATAAAATCGTTGTTGTCAGTTATCTGAAATGTTATCTGAAATTGCAGAAAAATCTTTTCCGTCCTCCAGAATTGTTAAAGCATGCAGTTCGCGACAGAGCAAGAACAATGTCGCCCGAATATTCTGACACCGTGTATAAGCTCGGGAAGTCGTATTTTTGGCGCCCTTAGGTAAATGCAGGAATAAGCGTAAAATATCCAGGGGCCCTAGAGCTAACCAAACACCCCCGTGCTACCCGTGCGCTGAATCGCTTCTGCTTCGTTCTTGTTTAGTAGCCGCTGGGTGGCGCAAAATAACTTATTTATTAAAGCCCCTCTATCCTGGGAAAAGTGGCGCCATTCATTGTTGTGGAAATGCCCGAGACACGTGCCGCGCGCCACTTCTGGAAAGAACATGGCATGTGAAATCGAGCTCAGTGCTGCGCTGTAGCTGTGCTGTGCCGCCACGATATTCCAAAGAGCTGCACGTTGCACGTGCTTCTTGCACCGACGCACCTTGCGCTACTTTTAGATCATGAAGAGGCTTTAATATGTATGCTCTATTGTTTTACGGGCTCGAGAAGCGTCATTGACAGGCATAGTGAAACTTGCACGCAAGGCGTTGGTTTAGTCAGTGTGAGGTATGATGCTCATCGAGGTTGTACCAATCAGGGGAGGTGGGGGGGGGGGGGGGGGGGGGGGTAGAAACGGAGAAAAAAAAACAGAGGGAGTCGTTGAATTCAGGCTGTCTCTACTTGGGACAACTTTCGATGGCAATAAAGAAAACGCTCCTGTACATTGACCGCCGATAAAAGATGTGCATGCGCGCGTTTCATTTCTTGGAGCGACACTACCATGGGCGTACAAACCGGGGGGGGCAGGGGGGCGCTTGCCCCCCCCCCAGTTCTCAAAGTGAGGGGGCAAGGCATGTGTTCTGCCACCCCCCCCCCCCCCCCCCCCCCCGCTGAAACAGCCGCCACTGGGCAGGGCAAACACTGGCAGGCGGTGCTCAAGGGATACCAAGGGCACCGCCCCCCGGCACTGGGGGGGAAGGGGGGGTTCGCCCCCCCCCCCCCCCCCCCCCCCCACTCAGAAACAAGTTGGTACGCCACTGGACACGACTCTGCCAAATTGGCGTGCATATGAAGACACTCCAACAGGCGGTAAGGATTGTGATTCTGCGGCCTTTCTTCTCGTAATGGGCAAGCTGCTGAATCTCGTGGCAGGCTCATTTCACCATACTGGAGCACGCCCTTTGGCTGCAGGCACTCCCTCTGATTGCGCACTATATTGATTTAGCGAATTTTCCATCCGACTCATGTAGTCCCCTGTAGTCGGCAGTGCGAATATATGCATCGATCAATCCAAAAGTCGCTAGATGTTTAGACAGCATGAGTGTAGTCTGCCAGGTAAGAATCACGACATTAAGACGAAGCGAGAGATGAGTAATTTTTACAAGTGCAGTACCGCCACCAGCCTGGGGTCACGCAGTAGTGGCACATCACGCATCGCCCCTCAGTGACACATGACCGCACGCCTGTATAGACGCTTTGCAGCAGCTGTGCATGGGCGCCGCCATAACTGACCTTCAGTTTTTGTTCCTTCTTATTCCGTTCGCTTCACTTCATCATTACCACAGCAGGACAGGTTATTGCCATTTTAGATGCTACTGTGTTCTTGTGCCCAGCATAGGCCCTTGTGAAGACCCGTCAACGCCCGCTTCAGTGGCTCGGCATCTCGGTAAGACAAGAGAAGGGCGGCTATGGCGGCTCAATCTGGCGCGTGTGTAAAGCGTCTATACGATTCTAATCCAGATCAAAACAAACAGGGTTGGATATTGAACCAACACCACCTGGAAAACAAGACCTACGCCCCCCCCCCCCCCCCCCCCCCCCCCCCCCAACCCCAGCGTCATCTTTAGTGAATCTGCCTAGCTTGCGTCAGCATCATCATCAGCGCGTCTCGCAGCATCTCCCAACGAGCGCTGCGCTACACGGAGTGACACCAAGACAAACGCGTCTGCCCCTTTGTGACATCTCTCAGCGAGCTGCAGCAGCGTCTTTGCCGCTTGTGGCAGTTTGGGGGTCCACTGACGGTGACTAATGCCAAGGCCTTTGTCTTCTACGTGGTATTTAGAGTCACTGAACAGTACTCCGAAGGGAATCAGTGGCCGAGTGGGTAGAGCGCACCTGAGCTTGGAGCACGTGTGGCGAAAACTCGCGCTGCAGAAATCCAGAGATGCTGGACTCAATCCCCCACCCCCGCTTCCCGTTTCGATTTGGATGATCATTGTACCGGCGTGCGGTCGCGTACATCACTATACTGCGTGGTGGTCGTTAAAGACCCCAAGGCTTGCAGTTCTACTGCACTAGCTATATTTCTCATCTATATTATGGACACAAACAGAAGTACGGCGGTAAGCTGCGTGCGCGCAAGGCCTGTCGAACCGGATTCTCCTACTCTCCCGGCCTATTCAATTCTTGAGGGGAGCGGGGAGGGTCAACCGAAAACGGCCAGGTTGTAACGCGTTGACGACGCCAAGTTGCGGCGCTCATAACAACGCCTGTTCTCAAGCAGCTTTGCCCTTGCTGGACCAAGTGACGTCACCTCTGTGACGTCAGTTTGGTCCGCTCCCGTGTTGCATCGCACTTTTCGATGGGTGATCTTCGAACGCTCCCTGGAATTGGCCCTTTGGAAAGAAACGTATTGGCGACGTGAGCGATCGAAAGCGTCGCTGTGGTCGGCCCACCACAATCGGCCGAATGCTGACTCTGACGTCAGCAAAGGATGTCCCATCGACGAAAATAAGAGGAATGTCAGAACTTCAATTTTGACGGTGTTGGCAGTGTTGCTTTGAGAGCGCTATGATTTCAGGCTTCCACCATGCCCATTAGAAACACCATCGAACTTGTTCGCAAGGTAATGACGTCACGAAAAGTAACCGACCGAGGTCGCCACCGAAACATCTCGCCGCTATAATAGCCATCCGTTCAATATAGAAGCGTGTGATTATCATTGGCAGATTCAGCTGATCATGTTTAACTTATTTATGGACGTGAGAGGTATATTTTATGTTTCGATTCATTATCCCTTTAATACGCAAGCATATTTTTTGTGTTTTCTCATACAACTGAGACACCAGTCGCCAATCAAGGCTGAATTCCGGTTTTATAAACTCTGCATACGACACTATTAATATTATTATTATTATTATTATTATTATTATTATTACTTCCATTGCTACATCCAGTGTATGCGATTTATTCGCGCGTCATTTCAGTTTTGTATATAAACACAATTGGGGTGGGTACTAACAGCCTTCATTCCCTGATGTGAGCGGATCCTTTTCCTCCCTGGATGAGGGAACGGTTCAGGAATGCACAATAAATAAACTGAAGCCTACCATGTGTTCAGGTCACTACGGTATTCCAGCAGCACTTGTAAAAGCATTTCACGAAATTTTCACGCCCATCCTTTATGATATTTTCAACAACTCCTTATGAGCAGGAGCGTTTCCTGACATGCGGAGGAAGACAGTCGTTGCCCCAGCCTACAAGTCTGGAAATCGTATCACTGCGTCAAACTACAGGTCAGTTTTTCTGCTGTGTACACTTTCAAAGCTTTTCGAATTGGTAGTCCACAAAACATTGCCATTTCGTTTAGAAAGAAAATTTAATAAGTTCCAACTAACACGAATTTGTATCAGGACGCTCGACAGCTACAAAATTTATTTCATTTATGTTCATTGCACCAAAAGCTGTTTGCCACAGAGGCCAGCATGGCGTGGTTTACTTTATCTGAGTAAGGCCTTTGATATGGTTGATCATGGCATTCTTTTATCAAAACTTTGTGGTATTGGTGTTTGTGGAGGCCTACACGACTGGTTTCAGACTTATTTGTCTAATAGAACATGTGTTGCTGTGCGAACGGCGCGTTGTCCTTTACGTACAGGGTCACGTCTGGGGTACTTCAGGGCTCAGTTCAGGGACCGCTACTTTTTTTATATTTGCGTGAACGACGTCTGTAAGCACATTGTAATCTCTTCTTGTTTGCAATATACTCATGATATTAAGATATTTATGTAGATTAAAACTATCTCAGATTGCAAATTTCTACAAGAGGACATAAACTCATTTAGCAAATGGTTTTCACTGAACGGTCTTCTACTAAACAGCTGGAAAACCAAGGTCTCATCCTATAGTCGCGAAACGCAAACCACGTGTTTCCCCTACAGTGTTCGCTCAGACGTAATGTAATTTGTGCCGTGCTGGTGAAGTGCGGGACTTGGGAGTGGTTTTTGACTCCTTCTTGACATTTGATAGCCATGTGGCTCGTCTAAGCACCAGCGCCTTGCGCGCGCTCGGTGTTGTCTGTTGAACGACTAGAGTATTTAGAAATCCCGCGGCGTCTGTAACGTCTTTTTACTCTCCTCGGACGTTAAATATCCTGGACTTCATGTTTGGTTTGTGTAGGACATCTAATGGCATTGCAAGTCATCTTGATATTTTTTGTGTAACTGAATTTGTCAGATCTCTCAGAGTCTGGTATGAGTCTCGCTGAACCTGTCGTGAATGTGAAGTTATTATTTATTAGAATGGCGATGCAGGGTAATTGGTTCATGCTTATTGGATGCGAAACATGGATGCGGCAGTTGGCGTCGCGACCGCTTGCGCCATCTCTTGTCTCCCGTGCGAAACGGCGCCGTGTTGTTTGAAGACCGGTGGCGTCGCTGCGTTTCCATAGGAGCTAAGCCTTTTTGTTTCTTTACTTTTTTCTTAGGGAAGTTCGCTCTTTGCAAATTTTACAATAAAAAAATGCACCATCTGTGGGCAACGCTGCACAAAGTCGTAGCGCGACAGGTTCAGAAACCGAATTTTGCGGTCGATTTAAAGTGCCTG